GGGGCTCCGAAAATTTGTATACTTCAAAACCAACACATGACATCATCATACAGATCGGATGGTTTTCAACTCAACAATTTAATGACCTGTGCAACTCAGCTATATCACGTGGTTTACAGATATAACAAATGTAGTCTCAGTAATTATTACACTCTTGTTCATCCCAAAAATGCTTTAGAAAATTGTATCACAACTGTATCTCAAGTTTGTCATAGTATAAACCATTGAAGACAATAACGGTAAATATATTTAATACAGTCTAGCGATCTTTTTTCAGGGGAGCAAAGGAATTGAAGGAGGAGTTGGGGGGGGGGGCTCTGAAATTTTTTCGACTACCAAGGAGGGGGCTCCTAAAAAATTGAACCGCTAGCGAGGGGGGCTGCTAAAATTTCAAGCTTCGAGTTTCAATATCTTCATCCCCCCCCCTTGTCATATTAAATGAACTTTCCCTTGGCTCCAAGGCCTGGCGGGGGGGGGGGGAGGGGGGGAAAAAAAGAAATCCCTTAACGGATGGTATAAATAATACATTTCTCCTGTTTTATTCCCCCGACCACAGAACCAAAAATGAATTTTGCTATATCAAATAAAAAAAAATATGTTTCGTGCAAGAAAGAGGAAGTTTGCCTTCGCCATCATTTATATGTACGATTTATGTACCGATAATTAGTGAACCAGAACTAGAACAATTTGTTTTCTGCGATGGACAATGAAAGCAGCAGGAATTAGAACTTGCATAAGTGATTTTTTTGTCACAGGCTAGTTAGTGCTTATTCCTTTAAAAACATGAATTGATCAACCAATTAATACTTCTCTTAGTTTTAGTCCATCAAATCACTAGTTGGATGTTATCATACCGAAATAAGGACACGACGCACATGATTTAAAATAATTTATGAAATTATTTTATACCTGAATATGGCCATAAGGTATACAAGTAAAAATAAATTATGACATCATCATGACCAAATAAGAACATGAAGCATAATTAAAAATAAATCAAAACATCATCCATCTAAAACTTGTAAAACTGGTTAAACACCTAAAGTAACACCCAACCTTACCTGAATGAGATTCCACCGCATTTTATTCATGAAGTAAAGACAAAATGTTATGACTACTGCTAATACGAAACAAGGCAGGCCGATACAAAAATGAACCTTTACCACTGTGAGGAGAACTGGTTATTTTGATGTCCGACTAGCGTCGCGTCGTGTCCTTTATATTGTTCCTCTCCACCCTGACATTGGCAACAAACAACTGGGGGAACCCTTCAACAGACTAGCCTAGACTAGACCTGACTCTTTGATATCTTTTTCCTTATTGCAGGACCATTTGATCGACTTTATGACTCCTCATTGAAATGGCCAGTGTATCACTATCTCCACTCTCGAGTTCTGTGGAGAAGACAAATGGAGCTAAGCTCAGCAGACTTCTCGTCGATGGTGGAACAACAGTTCTCAGGAAGATTTTTGATCAGCATCACCCTCGTGCCATCTTGACTGCGGATCTCAATTCGAATTATTCTATTCTAAACAACCTATTGCGTAGGAGAGTTTTGAATAGTTCCCAGTGGGACCAACTGTTTCCACCTGATGGAACCGAACCAGCCTCTAACACTTTTGACATCACTCTTCTATTTGTCCTTCTGACAAATGTTTGTGGACTAATCCCTCCTCCCTCTGGGTGGCACACAAACCCACCACCAAGTGACACATCTCATGAGGCTAATCTTGCAAGAGTTAAGTTCTATCGTAATACCTTGTATGGTCATGTGACAACCACTGGTGTTGATTCTTTAACCTTTTCTACCCTCTGGAAGGAAATAAGTGCTGTTCTTATAGATCTTGGCCTAGATCGCGCTGACATAGAAAGGCTGGAGGCAGAGAAAGGTGGAGAGCAAGATTACCTTAGTGCTTTGCATGAGTGGGCTGAACGTGAAGAAGATATTAAGTCCCAGTTGAAGAACATTGCACAATCTCAGGCTAAATCTGAACAGGCTATAAACGACATTACAGTCGGTCTTGAAGAAGTTAAACAAGTAGTTGATGGGTTAAAAGAACAAAGAGACAAGGAAAAGGCAGCTACAGTTCTTCAGAAACTTTCCAAATCGGAATTCAAAGGCGACATCGATTATCACTTGCAACGATTTCAAGTAGGTACCCGTGAGTGGATCTTTGACAGGGTTCAGAACTGGCTGGATGACAGAAGCTCTCAAAACCGGGTAATGGTGATCAGTGGAAATGCAGGAATGGGAAAATCGGTCATCGCTGCTGTGATCTGCAAGAGAATGCATGAGGCTGGCAGACTGACAGGAAGCCACTTTTGTCAGTATAATAATGCACGTTACTGTAAACCTCAGTTGATGCTTCAGTCGTTGGCCTGCCACATGTCCCACGTTCTACCTGAGTACAGGCAAAGTCTTGTAGAACAGTTATCACGAAATCTGGGCATGGACGTCAACAACATGAGCGTGGAGGAGCTGTTTGCATTGCTGTACAAGGAACCTCTGAACACCGTAGTTGATCCTGGAAGGAACATGCTGATGGTTCTGGATGGTCTGGATGAAAGTGAATATCAAGGACGAAATGAGCTCCTTGACGCCATCGTGAAGCAGTTTAGTAAGCTTCCAACTTGGATTCGTTTTCTTGTCACAACGCGCCCAGCGAGAAATATTACAGAGAAATTAAAGATGTTGAATCCATTTGAATTACAGTCTAGTGATGAAAGGAATTTTCAAGACATAAGGACGTTTTTAAAACAGAATCTTCCGCGCGGGATCAAAGAAGAAAATATGGACGAGCTTTTGGAGAGACTAGTTTTAAAATCCGAAGGACTTATGTTGTATGCTTATTTTCTTATTTTGTTCATTAATGAGAATGCATCAGCTCTACACCAGGAACTTCTGGATGGTAGTTTGCCATTAGGAATTTCTTCAGTCTATCATTCCTATTTCAGACGTCTGCAAAATGAACTTATCACGGAACTTGACATACAAGAGGAACATTTCCTGAATTTACTATCTGCCATTACTGCCTCAAGGGAACCCTTGCCAGTTGGGTTTGTTTCTAAAGTGTTAGTTCCTGGAACTAATTCAACACTTGCAAAGCGTAAAGTGCTAAAAGCTCTAGGCAGTGTGTCCGCACTTCTTCCCATTCGTGATGAACGCCTCCATCTCATCCACAAGTCAGTCAAAGACTGGCTGACTGACACATCATGTTATGGAGAACATGAATTTATCATGGACGAGAACGAAGGCCACCGTATACTAGCCAGCCTATGTACTGACGAACTGGATAACCTAAAACGGAAAGGCGTACATAACGTACAACTGAGCACCACTGAGAATTATGCTCTCTACCATGGTGCTCGTCACATGATGCACCCAGGTATGGAAAGGAGGCCATCTGAGCTGGAGGAAGTGACAAAGGCATACGTGATAGATTTAGAGGTAGTGTACGTTAAGACCTGTTTAAACAACACATTAGCAGCAGAAGACCTTGTTTGGCTTCAAAAGGAGGGTTTTTCTGCGTTGTTATCACAAGATAGCCGAAACATCCTGAATATGTTGTTGTTTCTGCTGAGAAAGTACCTCTACAGATTTACAGATCGCCCTCGAGTGTTTCTTCAAACCATGCTGAACCAAGGAGGAAAAGTGTTGTCTATGGAGGCGTCAATTCTTTTGCAGGACAAGTATCCTGAAATTCCATATTTGGAAAATGTTCACAAGGAGAAGCAGCAGGGAGGTGTTGTAGCGCGATTTGAATGTTCGTCTTATGTGGTCTGTTTGGACGTCTCACCACATCTGGAGTATATGGTCTGTGAATGTTCAGACGGAATGCTCCAGCTGTGGTCACTCCATACTGGCAGGCTAATATGGACACGCCCAGTGAAAGTGACGAAGAGTTTCGGAAAGGACTATTACCATGAAGCTGGTAGGATGGTGCCTTCCTCAGACGTCTTTTTATTTTTTCGCTCTGTTGTTTTCCACCCTACTGAAGAACTTGTCTTACCTGGGGTTCTTAGTCATGCCTATACTATGGACGGAATTTTGAGCGTGCTTTTTCCCAAAAGTAGCTGTAGCTTCTCAGTTTGTTCAGTTTCTAGAAACAAGACGAAGATTCTGACTGACTGTGTGGAAAACTCCAAATGCCTTGTCTTGTGGAGTTTGGAGAGCGGCTCAGAGATTGCTAGAATAACGAGTAATGAAGATATCTTATCTTTTGCTTGGTCTCAAGACAAAGGGCTTCTTGCAATTTCGCATCCTTCGGGATTGATTCGATTGCTTGACGAGGTGGGTGGTTTTAGAAATGTGGCTCAAACATCCACCCCAGAAGTATGTGGGATGTTGAAATTTTCACCAGATAACCGATTTCTCCTTTGTTTGCACTGGTCAGGTTACCTACACCTGTTTCGTACCGAAATCAGTGCCGAAAAACACGGTAGCTTTTCTTTAAGTGTTTCTCCTGACGAAGTGTCTAGTCATTACAAGAAATTTGAATCTTTCAGTGACTGTGGTTTTGTATTCGGAGACCTCATTCGCTCAGAACTGTCCACTAGCATTACCTTTGTTCTTAATGAACAATTTCTGTTAAGATGTGTGCGGCGAGAGATAGAAATGGTGAATACCAATGAAGCTGTAATCAGTGGTCAAGGTAAAGCGTCTGGAATAGCGCTCAGTTTGGATGGCCAGACCGTGTATTTTGTAAGTGATCCAGCAGTAGTGACAGCATGTAACGTTTTGAGCGGGACGCTTAAAGCAATGAAAAACTTTGGGGATGCGTGGCCCACTCGGTTGTGTCCTGTCAAAGAAGGTCTTCTTATTACGACGACGAGTGGAACTGTAGAATTGTGGAACCATGACTTGTCTGAGTGTGTCAAAAAATGGGCTAACCTGCCTAAAATCACAGACGTGATCCCTCTGTCAAAAGACCGGGTAGCATGTGTAGAACCGTTTGAAGTGAAGGTGCTGGATACAAGCAGTGGAGAATTCGTGTTATCGATTCCCGTTTTACATGCAACAGTTCTGGCATGCAATGGTAAATGCCAGCTGCTAACGATCAGTTCTTCGGGCTCGCTTCAGTTGTTGGATGGTACAACCGTTGTCTGGGAAAAGGACAACTTTACAAGGCCTTTCCTTGTTAAGGGTTCTTTATTCTCTCCCACGGGACAGTTTCTTGTCATTTGGAAACGTCGTTGTTTGTGGGTTTTGGATGCAGTTTCAGGAAACACACTCCGTGCGTCAGATACGATAGGTGTAAGGGACTGTAAATTTGTCAGTGACGAGGAATGTGTCGTTATTGTTGATCCTGGTGATTCTGTGCAACTGCTTAGCGTCAAGTCTGGTGAAGTGCTTAGCAAGCTGGATGTTGAAGTGGGCAAAGTGACCTGTTTGGCAACCTGTCCTCATCTATTCGCCCTTGGTCTGGAAAACTCCGCAGCCAATTTTAGAGTCATCAGAGTACATTTGCCGGATGATAAAGACAGTAGGAAGAGCAACAGGTTAACAGCTATAGAAAAGTGTTTCTTTTGATTTTTGCGTTTGTCTTTTGAACTTTCTTTTGACATGGATTTTAAGAATGTCTGTAAACATAGACTCGCATAAGTACCGGTATACACTATTATTTAGCCTGCAGTGCAGGCGTGTTTTGGGTGGGCGAAACCTTGTTCATGTTCGTATTGTTGCAGCCACCAAAAACGCCTGCACTGTAGGCTAACTGTTATCTATATCTTCAACTACGCTAGCAATGTGCAATGGGGCTCTTCTATCAATTTTTACCTTATTTAGTTATTACCTTATTTTGAAATCACTGTTTATCACTTTACGTCTTGTGGTCAAAAAGAGAAGAAATAGCTTCACCGACGACTCAAAAATCAAGACAACAAAAAAAAATACAGAAGAAGCTACCCTCTAAAGGGCCTTCAGAAACACAAAAGGATGATAACATGCAGCAACGTTCAGGACATTACCTTTTCTGAATTAAAGTTGAACCAAGTTCTTCGAGCTATGCCTTCGTTTCGGCTTCAGCCACCTCGGTCTACTTTCTCAGCCAGTTTCCTGGAAGATCAGCTGCTGCTTCATTCCTCGATCCAGTCCTTTCAACGGCTTAGAACGGAAAACCATAAGAGATAGACGCCCAAATTTCGAAAACAAGATACGCTTAGGCTTTTGTACATTATGCTAGCATTTTAGTGAGGCAAGAGCATTAAGCGTTATTCGAGAGTTTAAGCGACATTTCCCCGGAAAATTCAGCTAAGTGAGAAAAAAGAATTATTTCTCGTCCGGATCTCTATAAAGAGATTATTTATATCCCCTTTCGTGACATACAGCTATTTCGAGAAAGGTTGTCGGAAAATTAGACTACGAGTAGTCCCCCATCTTTCCTCAGGGATAGTAGAGCGAACGAAACGCGAGCACGCGTGAAAATCACCCCACGCAAGAAAAGGCGACACGCCGCGTGTCGCCTTTTCTCGCGTGGGGGTGATTTTCACGCGCGCTCGCGTTTCGCTCGCTCTACTATCCCTGAGGAAAAATGGGGGACTACTCGTAGTCTATCGGAAAATTTGTGCATGCGATAATTCCGAAAGGTAATATGGGATATGATCAATACACTGTTCCTGACTGTGTAGCTGTCGAACCTACTTTTGTTCCTTTCCTTTAGCAGTCGCAAACATACGTCCATGGCCTCTCGTGCCATTCTTTCAAATTCCTTTGAAGAACAGTCAAGCCCAAACCACCCACAATACCTTTAGGGATTGTCGCGTGCTCTTTTTCCGACAACCTTTCTCGAAATTGCAGTATACGTTTGGTTTTTGCTCGTTGCAACGTTTTCAATAATAAGTACATAAGAACCCCGGTAACTCGAACTCTGAAGACAAGCAACAGGGGCACCCAACGAGAATATAGTTCAAAACCACTTAAACATAGCATTGTTAAACGTGTTTTAGTATCTGAACGGTGGATATGGGCATATTTTTATCCCCTATAAATTTTTCATCTGTTCGGATTTCCTAGCTGAAAGTCTAGTGATCCGAAAATTATAGGGATCAAAACTTACCCGAAAGAAAATTTCAGCCAGAAAAAAGGCTCCCGAAAATTCTAGGTGACCTTTTTAGGATAAAAATGCGTTGAAAATGGGCAATTTTACCATTTTTTAGATGTTCGAAAATCCTAGGAGAGGCAGGCAGGCAAGAAATTTTACAACAAATGTTCCGAAAATTCTAGATCTCAAATCGTCTTCCGAACAGATATTTTCCCGAAAATTGTCGTTGGGTGCCCCTGAAGCAAAAACAGTTTGAGTTGTCGAGGTCAATTTCCCATGTTAATATTGATAGTTTAATGATATTTCAGTACCTCAGTAAACAGCAGAGTGCAAATTAAACTTAGCTCATCAGAAATTGTAACACGATTATGGATCCTTATGATAATACAGGGAAATGACTGTCAAATACGTGATCTGTAAACAAATTGCTGTAGTGTTAGTTTTAGGGGTTTTACCGATAACACGAGCAAATGGTTAGCAAGAAGAGAATGCTTAGTTAATTTCGACGTTTGATATAGCAGTCGAACTTATGGTAACTAAAAAAGTCAACCCAAATGGCGTTTTGGTTTCTCTCAAGAGAAGTTGACAAAATATACACTAAAAAATACAGTAGTTACAGTACACAGTGCGAAAGGTGGAGGACGTTCAGACGCAGACGTTCTTAGCAGGGGCAGATCCAGGTTTTTTTTTTAGGAGGGGGTGCACTCGTCTCTTGCTCTACTTCAACACCAATAAACCACATAGTTTTTTTTTTTTTTTTGCAGAATACCAGTTGTATTAGAAAACCGCCGGTCATCTCGGGGGGGGGGGGGGGGCACCCTTTGCACCCCCCCCCTAGATCCCCCCCTTCTAAGGGCTTCGTAACTCGTGGAACGTCTGCTTGGGATGCTACATTAAGGTGGAGCATTTTAGTAGAGAAACAAAAGCATACTGAAATGTACCAAACCCCGGGTTGAAACCCTAGACACAGTGTTCTCCTACTCAATGGTCGTTTTCCGAAAAACGGCGGGAATAGTCTCTCGCCAGCCTACACGCCGTTTTCTCGGAATGTTTTTTTCGATCCCCTTTCCCCACCATCTTGGAGCCTTGAACAGGCTCGAAATACCAAAGGTGAAGTAAACCGTGCTCACGGTTTGATAAAGTGTATCAGGAATTAGGTAAACTAAGAGAAAACAACCTGCGGAACCAAGTAGAGATCCAGGTGCGTTGCGTGACAGAGGCTACGGGTGACTAAATGGCATACTGGCATGACGTATATACCACATTATATTTTGAGATGTCCAGAGATTTTAAGTTGTGTCTCCTATGGTTACTTTTTGCTCTATTTTCTTACTTACTGTACAAGACATTTGACTTTGGTTACTTCCATGGTGTTACACACTCCCATCCTGAGTTATCTCCTTTGTGCAAACGAATGTGGAATGCGGACAAGAATCGTCTCTTCCCAGGGGTTGACTACAAGATAAATCCACAAGGAGAGATCTCTCAAAATTCACGTCAGGATCGTGCTACCTATTCACTTTTTACCTGGGTGGACCCAAGAGTGTTTGAGCGTCCAACGTTTAAAAGTTGGTGACATATTTATAACACATTTTTACACTCCTGCACTCTAGTTTAGTTAACCCATACGATATGTTAATAAGACCCCAGTAGGATTCAAACTGACGAGGGGTATTCTACAAAGTTCTATACGGAGAGGCTCCACCCTGAGGTCCAACCCATTTTTGACAGAAATTGTACCCCTTTCATATACCTACTGCTGACAAATTGTGTCCCTCACATACTCCTCCTGTTTGACATACCTAGTATAAGTGGTTTTCATGCAATCTCGGGAGACACAAATAACAATGGTGAAATGAACAAATGCTGGTGGACAAATAAAGTGAGCTAGTGAGCAATCTTTTGTTTACTGTCCACCAGCATGGCAGCAATGACGTAACGTGAAAACGACCTATAGTCCTTTTGCGTCAACCCCTTTTAACTGCTGTAAATACACTGTCTTTAAACATGGAAAAATCTCGAAACCAGACACACACGTGAAATGCATCTGTAAATTATGTAAGCCCTGGCCTTTTTATGGATGAAAATGACAAATTTCTGTACCTTTTCATATACTCAAACTAGTAAAGTCCTTACCCTTTGATATACCTGAATCCTGAAAAAGGTACCCCTTTCAGGAAGAGCCTTAATTATGGTATAGGCCATTGTAGGGAGTATCCCCAGGCCTCCTTGCAGGTGCTGCTCATGGTTAAAGTGGTATGCATGTCTCATGTCAGCGCCATAGCTAGTATGAGGCCAACCGAGGCACTCGCCTCGGTAAAATTTTGACGAATGTCACCGATCATTTTTATTTTACGTAAGCGATCATCGGATATTTTTAACGCATCATGATACTACAAAGAATTCAGCAATTCAGTCAATATACTATGAAAAAATTACCATATCATTGATCTCAAGGGGCTACGTACGTTAACCCAAATTTTTTTTGAACAAATACTGATCAAAACCATTGGCGAGGTTAACGGTCACCCAGATTATGTGGCTTGTTTCTGATTATTGCTTTTTAAATTCCACTTAAATTAACTCGGAAAAAAGTTACCAAAAGGCCCAGAAAATGCTGCAAATCGCATTTCCGAGAGACTAAAGTTCAAAATTTCTCGGGGGGGGGGGCATGCCCCTGAACCCCCCTAGCAACTCCCGCCTGCCTCGGTTGGCCGTTTGGTCTGGCTACGGCACTGCATGTGAGCCTGTGCTGGCCAGCTCCCATGCTTTAGCTATGATTTTTAGCCTGACGGTTAAAAGACCTCAGACTTTTAGACCATATTCTTATGTTTGGTGGAAAAAATTGAGCTCACGGATAAAAATCTCAGGCCTTTGACTCAAAAAGTTTGGCAATTAAAACTTGATATATATATAAATGGCCTAGCTGTCTCCTTTGAGCTGACCGTGGCTGTCAAAGCACCCGACCTGGGCTAAGTAGGTCACAGTCTCAAATCCTATGAAAGATTCAGTTTGCTGATTTGTCCACCGAAAGCAAAGATCTTTTTACTTCAGTTCATCAATAACCAAGGTGAAAATCGGGTATCTTCTTGTAAGTATAATGACTTTTCTTTTTTTTATAATCTTTAGCATTCATAGCTCTGTTGGACAACTATGAAAGTGAAACGGGGCGAGAAGAGGTTGTCACTCAACAAGAAAAGGGTGAAAATCAACATTTCATCGATGCCATCTATGAAACAGAACCAATGAAAATTGCTCATGAGTACTTGGCAGGCAAGGGGCTTGTAGAAGCAGGTCAAAGTCAGTTCAAAAAGCAATTGTATGATATGTGGTTTACAATGTACAGTAGAACAGGTGATAAAAGGTGAATAGGTTATTTTTTTGTTTTCTAAAAGCCTCTTACATCACAGAGGATTAGGGGTAATATAAAATAATAATTTATTGACAGTTAAATCAAGAATCAAGCAACATAATTAAATGGCAGTTAAAGGGTGACCTGAATCAGAAGTGATTAACATCCAATTTCTCCTTGTAATCTGTATGTGTTAGGTTGAACTGTATAACCATTTTTCTCCCAACCATATGCCCAATGTTAACGTTCAATTCTAAATTTCAATAATAATGATAATCATAAAGTTATTTTTTAATATTTTTTCTATCATTAATATTAAAATAATAGAAAAGAAGATATTAAATTGTTAATAATAATTATGCTAATAGTAGCACAAAAAAGGCACCATCAGTCTGGGGGATAACTGGTAGTGGAAAAAATGTTAATTACATAGTAGTTCCTTGGCCTCGATGATGACTTTGTCCAGTTTCTGATACATGATTGTTTTTTTTTTTGTTAGAATGCAAGCACAAAGAGAATGGATTGTGTTTTGATTCTTAGCAAGCTGTTGAGTTTAATTGTGGGGATCACTCGAGGAGTCGGGGGGGGGGGGGGGGGCCCAAAAAGTTTTTAAATGGGGAAGGTGGGTCCCAAAACACAACCCCTTCCCCTTTTTATATATTTTTTTAACCTTTTTTATTATCCTTTTTTTTACAATAGGTGCCCCATCAAACTCACTTAATATTAAACTCAACAGCTTGCTAAGAATCAAAACACAATCCATTCTCTTTGTGCTTGCATTCTAACAAAAAAAAAAACAATCATGTATCAGAAACTGGACAAAGTCATTATCTAGGCCAATGAATTACTATGTTATTTACATTTTTTTTATTATCAATTATTCCACAGAATTATAATTATTTTTTTATGTTAATAATAGCATAAATATTATTAGTTTTTTTTTTTTTTTTGAAAAGTTTTTTTTTTTTTTTTGGGGGATAATAAAAGAGGTGGGGGGGGGGGGGGGTTGCTCAATAAGTTTTTAAATGGGAAAGCTGTGCTCCAAAATCCAACCCCTTACCCTTTTATATATATTTATAAACCTCTTTCATATACCTTCTTTTGACAAATGGTACCTCATGCACATACCTTAAGAACTTTGAATCGCCTTTAACTGCTGGAAGTGTACTGTCTTTTAAATCTAAATAAATCAAAAAACCAGAACAGATTTACCTACCCTTTTATATACTTCAGTAACTGAAACTCCCTTCCATTTGATATACTTGAAGCCTAAAAAAGGTACCCCTTTTGGGGGGAGCCTCCCCCTATAGGACATTTTGACTGTAGTAACAAATAAAAATTATTTTCAATAGCTTTAAAGATTCATCTGGCTTTGAGCATGTATTTGTGGGGGAGTCACAGAAAAAAAAGGCTAATGTGGCTGGCTTTCATAACTGGATTCAATTCTACTTGCAAGAGAAAAAAGGCTTGCTTGACTATAAAGGCTTCTATCCAAGTCGGAGAGTAAGTACTGTCACTACAAAACCGTACCATTCTCTGTTCCTGTCATGATAGCTAATCTCTCATTGTAATATATTTGAAGATAAGGACATTCAAAAATACACTCAAACCTCTATGTGCAACCACCTCCCATAACTGCTGTAAGCGACCACTTGTCCAAAACACCAACATTTTACCAGTCAAAGGCTTATAGTAGGAAATTCTCGTAAATGAGCACCTTTTGTAAGTGTATGAGAAGAACTTTTGGAAACAACATGGATTTACATATATAATATTTTATAAAATAGCTAAGACAGTACGCGCTTTCTGATTGGTTAAAAACCTATGGTTTATTGTGCCCGTAAACTCATAGTTTTACTTTAAGTTATTTTATGAAAGCAATAGACCACACTTTCTATGGGTTTACTGCTATGGGTTTACTGGCGTGATAACCCACTTGGGATGTTGACGTGGGTTATCACGCTGGTAAACCCATAGAAAGTGTGGTATATTCCTTAAGTAACCTTCAACTTGCATGCAATACATTCAGTCCAAAACTAGAGATGTTCGGGCTTCTCCTCATAGAAGACTTCCTGCAGTTTGACTCTCGTAAAGGACCACCTCCCATAGGCGACCACTGCGTATTTTGGGTCGTCGCTTACGGGACGTTCAACTGTGCAGAAAATATGAACTTTGTGTCAATGACTCAGAACGTTTTAATGTCGATTTAAAATGTTTTTGTAAACTTGAAGCTCTCTTCACTTAGTAAATAGAGTCTGTTTATTCAAGTGAATCAAACTGTATGTATAGTCTCTTTAATTCCAGATTGATGGTACTTTTTCATGGTGATGCCTAAAATTTGCACCCTTGAGATGTCCAGAAAACATTCATTCTTGGCCAAATGTTAATTTTTCATACTCTTTCCAGGGGCGGATCCAGGATTTTTTTTAGGAGGGGGTGCACTCGTCTCTTGCTATACTTCAACACCAATAAACCACATAGTTTTTTGTTGGCAGAATACCAGTTGTATTATAAAACCGCAGGTCATCTCAGGGAAGGGGGGGGGGGTGCGCACCCCCTGCACCCTCCCCCTAGATCCGCCCCTGCTTTCCAGACAATTTCTCATCTGTTGGGCTACATGGTCATTTTGGTGAATAGCTAATACCACATTTTATTTCATACCTAAACTTAATAGCATTAGGTAAGACATGAAATTAGCTGTGGAAATCTGTCAGGGGGACCCAACGACGGTTTCTCCTAAATACGTTGAAAACACCTTTTAGGCTTTGCAGAGTACTTTAACATTTCCAGAGATGCATTCTTAGCGGCGCTATAGTATTTGTATCTTTTCTGTCAGGGGCACCCAACGAGAATATAGTTCAAAACCACTTAAACATAGCATTGTTCAACGTATTTTAGTATTTAAACGGTAGATATAGGCATATTTTTATCCCCCAAAAATTTTTCATCTGTTCGGATTTCCTAGCTGAAAGTCTAGTGATCCGAAAATTATAGGGATCAAAACTTACCTTTTCGAAAATTTCAGCCAGAAAAAAGGTTCCCGAAAATTCTAGGTGACCTTTTTAGAGTAAAATTCCGTTAAAAATGGGAAATTATACAATTTTTTAGATGTTCGAAAATCCTGGTAGAGGCAGGCAAGCAACAAATTTTACAACAAATTTTCTGAAAATTCTAGATGTCAAATCGTCTTCCGAACAGATATTTTCCGAAAATTGACGTTGGGTGCCCTTGTTCTGTCATCCTGGGGGAACTTGAGTCTTTTCGAAATTGCAAGGGCGTCAGTATTATTTCCCGAAAATTTTAGATGCAATTTAACATATTACGAAAGTGAGAAGTTTTCTGATTCCTCTCTCCATCACATTTTTGAATCCAAAAATTTTAGGATTCGTTTTTTGTCCGAAAGATATCCTAATCCGGGCAGTGAAATGTGAAAAATTAAAGGTTCAGAAAATCGTAGGGAATTTATTAGATAAACTTCGAAGTTGTACCTGAATGGAATGGTCAACTAGAAATTATTAGCGGTCATCAAGTTATAGAAATTGAAAACTATTCTTGGCAATATTCGCTTCTCCGAACAGATGTTTTACAGAAAACAGTCTTTGGGTGTCCCTGATCTGTTAGTGTTTTATGTAATAATATTAAAACAGTAATAATACAACTCAATTGTCTTGTTTTTTCCTGACAGGAAAAGCACATAACTAGTGACGATTGGAGCATGAATAAGCCTCTTACTGTGCGGTTCAATTGGAAAGGTGATTTAAAACGGATTGGCGGCAGCTTCATTGGCACTAGCCCTGAATTTGAAATGGCGCTGTGTACAGTTTGTTTCCTGGCTCGGAAAGGAGATGGGCGTATCGACCGTATTGAGCTTGATCACTACGATGTTATTGTCAAAGCTCATCGCTTTGGAGCAAACTTACTGAGTACCTGCTATCCGATTAATAAGTGAAACAAGTCAGCAAATGAACGAACTCCTCCTCCTAGCGGGAACGGCGAACAAAATCAGGCTACATTGGACTAGCTAGCCTGTGAGCAAGTCCACTGGGACGCTCTGGCGGCGGCGCGAAAAGCGAGGCTCCCTTGCCGTCTTTCCTCCCCCACCCCTGTACTCCAGGGAGAGCTTGCTCGCAAGCTGTGGACCGGTAGAAATCTCAATAGGATACCTTGATGTTCTTAGCAGACTGACTCGATCTTGTGACTGTTAAATGCAACTACTATATAACAGGAAAATTAAGGTATCTTAAACGAAGGCGAATTAAATTAAAGAAACGCAAAGGAGGGAGTAAAATTTCAAAACAAAGAAACTTGACACGACTTACGTGAGTTAGAAACAAAAGAAGCAATAGGAACAACTGTATCTTAATGCTGAGAGCAAGAATCGAAATGCAAGAAATGTCACCACTTCGCCTTAGCAAGACAGTTCTAAAGTGATGACGTCATGAGAAATTATGGGATTTGTTGAGATGTTTTGAAAGAAGAACACCTGAAGAAGGCCTACTTGCCAAAAACGAGCATTGTGGAGCAAATTGTCTCGGAGTTACTTCTGAGTCCCGTTTTGTTTCGGTGACTCTATACAAATCCTTCTAAATTTGACTCGGTTCCTATATAATGTTATGAACTGAGTCAAATTTAGAAGAATTTTTTTTGAGTAATCAGAGCATAACTGGGCTAATATCACAAAGACAATTTGCCCTGGAATACTAATTGTTGGCAAGTAGGCCTTTTGGATGTTGTTCTTTCATAATAGCCCGAAAAATCCCATAATTAAAATTTGTCAAATTCTATTTTCTTATGACGTCACACTTTAGGACTCTGTCTGCGCGTGACGTCACGGCGGCTATATTCTTCGAGAAAAAAATTGTATAGATCCCCAACATGGCCGCCTTATTACGTGGTGCAAACCAAGAACTGGTGCGGTCACACGGTACAATCACACGGACACACGGGACACTTTTACCAAGGGAAATACCTTTTACCGTGGTGCGACCCGTGGTGCGTGGTGCGTGGCTACCTGGGAGACCTCTGGTAAAATGATCTTCAAAAATTAGGCCTGTTCCGCGGGGGTAGCCCATGGACTAGGTCCACAAAGAGGTCCATGGACCGGGGGTCCATGTGTTGTATACGTCCGATTGCCCATGCTGTGAAAATTTGCTGTGAAACAATCTGACGAAGCCAAGATCAATCCCAGTGTTCCCAGTCTTCGCGATCAAATTCATGATTGTTATATTCCTAGACTTTCACTCAACTAAACAGGGACTGCCATTGGTTGATTCTTGGTCACGTGGCCTTGACTAAAATCAAATGTATCCCGATCGTGATACATTAAACAATGTATCCCGCTCGGGATACATTGCAGCACGTGATCAAAGCATGGTGGAAAGTGGTGTGACAGAAGGCGGGAAAAACACCGCCAGGTCCAGCCAGTTTTCTTTTTCGTGAATGAACACAACAACACAAAAACGAAGCCTCAAGCTAAAAAGCAACGATTTTTAAAGTTATCCCAGAAGTTCCCAGAAGAAAAACAGNTTTCCTTTCTTCTGGTCCTGGAAATAGGGTAAGTTCACAAGAACCAATTTGTTTTGTTTCCAGCCGTATTAACTTTCCCTATAAAAGTGATAACAAATCATGTAAATTGTAATTCGTCCGCTTTGAGAAGATGATTCTTAGTCTCGCGCATCAGCTCGTTACTAGTCCAAAATGATGACAAAAACCTGGCGTCCCTTAAGTTTGACTGCTAAGTGAACTTTTTCAGAATTAAACTGTAGAGTTGTTTGAAAGATGTTGACCAATTAATGGACGCTTTTGATATTAAATGAAAGTAAAAACATCACAATGTAGCTGCATCGCCTTTCAAATATTGAAGTCGTGCACAACCAGTTTGCGCACCAAAATATCTGTTCTCTCAATATCGCAAGTGACTAGAGAGCTGATGCTCCAACTAAGAGTCCATGCAAGTGCCCTGATTAGCTTATGATATCTGACATGACTACTGAGACGTTTTCAGACACTTTTCGTCGGGGTGTCGAAAATCGGTACTTCGATTTTGATCAATTTCGTGTATCGAAAATATCGTCTTTTCACATACAAGTGGGCGTAATATATTCTAACCTTTGAGTAAACGTGAGGCTGACCTTGTTTTGATACAAACCTTCTTTCTTTTTTATGGAAATTACGGACATAATCAGATAATCACTAAGTCATGCAAATCAAACTCTAGCTGTTTTAAGGAGAAACCTAGGAAATTGTCCATACCGGTAAATCAAATCACTCCATATAATGAATGACTCATTTTAAGACCTCACTTACAATACAGTAAAAACCCGCATATAAGAACCTAGAGGCTGAAAATTGGCATTTAAATACCCAAAAATATAAGAACCTGTTCAGCCCGGCAAAGAAAAAGAGGTTCTTATACAAAACAATCACTCCAATTTTGATGGTCAAAATTCTTGATTTAATTGTGTCAGAAACTTTTGACAAAAGGTTATTGTGTATATGTTTTCTTTGATTTACGTTTGTTTGGAATTTCACAAGAAGTATATTTTCCATTTAGCTACCGTGCAATTATATACCATTTAAAATCTTAATATCTCATTTAAAAAAGATAGAAATGTATTGATGTTCTTCTTGGACCTTGAATGTTTGGGCCGTCACTTGTTTCCATCCGCCAAACTGACATTTTCCTCTCAGTGGCTCTCACAAGACATTTCACTTTTCTTACATGAAATCTCTCTGTCTCTTGAAAATTCTGTTCATAAAACTCTTAGTCTCTTAAATTTTTAAGGAAAAAAAAATTCAGGATGGCAAGAGTAGGATTCGATCTCTGAGCATCGGCTCTGCAGTGCATCACCTTAACCCCTACAGTACCGAGGATTTGCTGACAATGAATGGTTTGATTTGAGTGTATATAGCAACAACCCTAACCCTAACCCTTACTTTGTGTACGAATCATTAATCTGTCAACGTCAGTTTGGCGGATGGAAATAAGTGTTGACCCGAATGTTTGTCATTATATGTACTAGTAGCACAATATTTCTGCCAATGGTTACACTATGACAACCTCTGAAAAATAAGAACCTTTGAAGAACCTAATCAGCCTGAATTGTGAAAAACTGCCGTAAGGGGCTGGTCATTTATTACCAGTGAGTGGGGGCTGGCCATTTTGCTGAGTGGTCATTTTCAAAATCTTGATTGTTTTTGGGGGTCATTTTCAGAAAAGGAAGCATTACCTAGGGGGTCATGTTATGTGAAGTGGTATAAAGAAATATTTTCTTGTTATATAAGCAAAGAAATCAATGTAAGGTATAATATTAATTTTTTGTGAAGCTGAAACTACAGCGAAAGACTAGCCTGCGAGACCTGGTTGTTACTCCTCTGGTTGTATCCCATAAATTCTGACAGACACGAACTGAAACACTCAAGCAGGACATTGGTTAGCCCACCCACGCTGACGTTCTTAGGCATTCGTCACTCAATCATTCCTCCCCGCGAACGTGGGGGAGGAATGATTGCAAGACAAAGGCCTTAGGACCTCTCTGTGGGAGGCTAAATAGTGGTTTGCATAATTTTTGGCGATTCATCTGTCTAGTCTGTTCAGATCAAAGCCGCAAAGAATAAAACTTTTGAAGTAAGAGTAAATGCATATTAATAGTACTAAGTTTAGCATGCAAATCAATAATCAGTAGTACTTCCGATGGTACAAAACGATCTTTCGTGCAATGGTTTGTGGTAATAGCCGTGAATAATATAAAATACTGATCTTTTAACACTACTGTAAATATTAAGCATGTGGTGAACTTCGGCTGAATTTCTAGCTTAAATATTTGGATGGGGAGTCACTTTCACGATATGTCAAATTTATGAGGGTCATCTTCAAAAATTTTTATGAAGTGGAGGGTCGGTTTGAAAATCTTCTAAGCTTTCTCAAAATGGCTGGCCCCCCTCACAGGTACCATATTTCCTCCAAAGGGGGAGATTTCTTCATAGGAAGGTGATTATTCGAGGGTGGCGACTATTTCAAAATTAATATTGCTCACTGGAAGTCGTGCCTTTAAATATTTTGTGTTTTTTTATCCCATAATTAAATTTAAAAAATGATCACTTTAAATAAACTGAACTTGGGCTTTTAAAGTGTTCCAAATTTGATTCCTTGATTAATTTTCAATGTCAATATCCTGGGCATCAGAGCTTGAATCATCACTAATCAGTATTGTTGGATCAGACTCCACTTCAACTTGACAGAGAGGGTATAAAAGTATTAAAGAGAAGATGGCGAGAGGGAGGGGGGGCAGGGGGTGGGTGATTATTCTAGGGAGGTGATTATTTTAAATATTTCCATTTAAAGAGGGCCATTATTTGAGGAAGGCCATTAATTAAGGGATGGCTATTAGTCAAGGAAATATGGTAATAGCATAAGCCCTCCAATGCCAGCCCATGTAATTTTAAAACAGATTCACAAGGCAGTTCCATCCTAACAAGTTTATTCAGCCATCAGCTTCTAGCAACATTTTTAAGAGCAGTTTTGTATAGATCTAAAACTATGAAGGTCTACAATAACTTAAGTGATAAAAATATTGCATGAAGATACCACAATGAACACTTTTAAACATGTGGTTTCAGAGATTGATTTTGTCCTAGAAGAACCCTATGTTGTACTGCATGTCATTGGCAGGTTCCCACATCATATTTGAGGGAACAGAACTTGTTCTGACTGACTAAGTTGATCTTCTCATATATCATTTATTTAAGACGATCATTCTCATTTATATTTGTATTCTTCATATTTATTTAAGAATGAGGTTATTTATAGTATGTTGATTAATTATTGTGTATGGGCAACCTTTGTGAATTTAAAGTATAGGTGTAGATAGATGTATGCTGGAAAAAATACTTAAATAGAATAAGAATAATATAAGAAATAAGAAAGCAGGAAAGGATATAGCAAAACAAAAAATAGGTCAACTCCAGGCTTGTTTCTATCTTTAAGTCTAGGTTTGCATATGCTCTGCAATGGATATGCGCTCCTTTGTTTGGATACAATAGCAAATTCCTGAGGCAAATTCTTGGGTGAGGGGGGACAGTGCTCATGACAAATGCCCTAGTGTGGGGGCAAAATTAGGGGGCTGAGGCCCGGGGAGGAGGGGCTGGTTTGAGGAGCTGTGGGGGGGGCCAGCGGCCCGGCTCACCATTACGCCTAACTTAAACCGGTAACTAGACCGCCTTACTGCTGTCCCCTCATTCA